GGGGGGGGGGGGGGGGGGGAAGTGTGAACTTGCAGGGACTCGAAATTGATTGCGGGGCAGCTGAGGCCTGCTCCCTTTCTACCGGCTCCAGGTTCTCGGAGAGGCCGAGAAAGAGCGGAGAGCGGCAAAAAGGAGGGAAAAAGGGGGTGTTTGAGAGCCCTACGGCCCTGCGGTTTGAGCCCGGCCTGCAGGCGCCCCAGCTCCAGGTCTTGGACGGACTGGCGCCCAGTGAGGAGGAGCTGGCGGAGGCCCAGCAGCTCGCAGAGGCCGCCGAGGCCGCCGAGGCCGCGGACGCCGGAACCCCGGCGGTGGAGGAGCCGGCGGAGCCCGCGCCGGTGCCCGCGGGCGGTGGCGGTGGACCCGAGTGGTGTCGCATCACCTTGGCTCTCGGCCAGCTGAAGAACCATCAGGAGAGCAGAGAGAAAGGGCCTAAAGGTTAAAGGGTATCTCTTTGACTGCTAGGCTTGCTCGCTGTCTGCGTGCGGTTTCTGCGGTTTCTGCGTCTGAGGAGCTGCTGAGAGAGGCGCTGCTTCCTCCCGGCGAGGAGGCGCCCGGCCGAGCGGAGCGGGCGGCTCAGCCTCGCTTCTGCGTCGCTTTGCGCTTTCCTGTGCAGGAGGCCTTCGCGGCGCAGCAGGCGGAACTGGCGGCGGATCCCAGCGCCGAGGTGGTCGAGAGGGACGCTTTAGCCGAGAAGTGCGGCCAAGAGAGCCAGCTGGCTCTGTCCTTCCAACTGCCTAGCGGCATCTGGGTGGCCACGAGCAGCATCAACCTCTGCAAGAAGACCTACGAGGTGGAAGAGGGTCAGCCTCCGCCCCCAGTAGTCCTCAAGGAATCCTTGAAGCTCAAAGCCTTGCGGCAAGAGACCGGCGAGCATTTGAGCTTCGACGTCCGCTTCGAGGAGGATTTGAGCGGCTTGCGCGCTCTTCGCCAATGGCTCCAGCGGGGCCTGCAGCTGAAGCTCCACTACCTTCCCAAGCCCAAGGAGAAGGAGACGGAGAAGGAGCAGGAGACCGCTGCCGCTGCAGAAGAGCAGCCTGGAGAGGAGGCCGCGGAGGCCACGGAAGCCGCCGGGCAGGCCGAGGCCACGGAGGTCTCGGTCTCAGAGGCCCAGAGGCCGAAGGATCCGAGTGTCTGCTTGGGCGGCTGCGTCCTTCCGCTCTCGAGCTTCCTGCAGCGGACGCCCACGTCCACTTCGGGCCCTTCGGGCCCTTCCGGCTGCCCCGATCCCTGGCCTCACGCCGCCGAGGTCGCCGTGGTGCCCGTGGCCCAGTGGATGAACCCCGAGATCCAAGTTCCCAAAGAGAAGGAGAAGGGAGACAAGGGGGCGGGCCAGGCGCCGAGCGGCGGCGCGCCGCCCAGTGCGCAGCTGGAGCTGGTGCTCACCTTGTACTCGATGCCCTTGGAGGATGTCGCGGAGTCTGAAGAAGAGGCACCACCGGCCCCCAAGGCGAAGGCAAAAGCAAAGGGCAAGAAGTAGCACTAAGTGTAATTCAATGCTCTCAACATAAGGAGGGCCGGCGCTCATCGCCCCGAAGGGGCCATGGCAAATGTCGCCCTTTCCGTCGCAGGTGTCACTGTCGGGGCCAAAGACAGGTGCCCGGAGGAACAGTCAAGCTGCGCGCTGCAGAGTTCTTGAAGGCCGTGGAGCCATGTTTAGGTCGTTTAGGTCCAGCCAGGCTGCCACAATCTGCCACATCCGTGACTCAGCATCCCAGCAGCAGACTTGAAACTTTCAGCAGTGCCAGAGAGGGCCGAGAGAGAGAGAGAGAGAGCACACGCTCTGCAAGCAAGCAACAGGTTACCCAAGAAAGTTTTACAAACCCGTCACAAGGATCCCCGATGAACGAACGCCACTCGCACCGGGGATGGTTGAAGCGAGAGTTTCGGCGCTGCGGCGCCTTGCAGCCCAAGACGTGGTGCCAGCGGTGCAGGACTCAGGGGTGGTCTATTGCTCCATGACAGGGGGGCTTCGTCCCTGCACTCGAAAGGATACTCATCGAGAAGAGCCCGAATTGAGTTTTGTTCGTCCAGGCATGTGAAAGGGTTGGGCGAATCTCGGAACGTGTTTCCGAGCGCTGTGCCTTTCCAAACCCTGTTCATAAGCAACCTTGCAATAGAACCTCTTCCATGGAATTTCAATACCTGCGACAGAAGCGTTTGCATATGGTTCGTTTCTACCGGCACACTGACGTCACCTCGGGTTTTGTCCCATATGCGGCTTTCTCGAGGTTGACGCTTGGTTAAGCTTGATACCCTAGCCCTCAAGTTGGCTTTTGGCTTGATTAGGTTTTGTGCGAGGACTTCGTACTTAAATACCTGCGATTTCGAAGTCTATCCCCTCTTGCACGCTCCCGACCCTCTGTACGATGTCACTGGGACTAGGATCTGGGTCATTGCCATGCAAAGCCTGTTTCTACTCCAACATAGATCCAGCTTTCGTATCCAGACAGGAGTGTGTTGCAATCAGCAACGACAACGACAAAAGCTCTCTGGCAGCTTCCCTTCATAGCAGCCTCGAGGACGCCGTCTTGCGGAGCAACGCTGGAGCGGAGGCGAGGCGACGGGCACCTGCATAGGTGCGCAGAAGCTGATGTCGGCCTTCGGAGGTGACGCTTCAGCAGGAGGTCTTGGGCCTGGAGTGGCTTGGGATCAAGCGGCCCTTCCGATTGCGACTGCAGGCAGGGCAGCGCTGCAGAGCCGCTTTTTGAAGTCTTGTCGTTGCGAGCTCCTTAAAAAGACGCCTTCGCCCGCCCTGTCTATCACCTTTACGAGCCACCGCCCCCCACTCCACCTTCTGAACGCGCCGTCTCGCGCCATGGCGGCGAGACGCCGCCCGCGGCTGCGGCATCTGGCTTGGGCCTGCCTGGTCCTGGGAGTGGCCCGGCAAGCTCCCAAAAAGCAATGGCAACACTTTTAAGAGCCCTCAATATCAGGACCCAATTAATTAACTTGTATATCGCCGTTTCGGACAAAAAAAGCTGTTCCGAACGAGAGTCCACCGAACTCGGCTTCGCCCAGGCTTTCGATGCTCGCAGCTTTGCCGTTGCTTCGCGGAAAGCGGCCCTAGCCCTGTTCTTGGCGCCCCTGGGCCCCCTTTTGCCATTCCCGGGCCCTGCCTCGGCGGCGCCGGAGGCGAGAGAAGAGGGTTTAGGGTTTAGGGTTTAGGGTTTAGGGTTGCGGGTTTAGGGTTTAGGGTTTAGGGTTAGGGCGGTTTGGCCTCCTCCCCCGGTGGATTTTGGGGGTTGAAGAACGTCTCATGTGCTGCCTCCTCTGAACTTCTCTCTATAGAGACTCGGTACGCTGAGAGCTTGGTTCTACTCACCCCACTTAGCCCAAGCCGATATGAAAAAGATCTCTTCAATCCGAATCTTGAGCAGACTGAGCCCCCCAAAGTGCCTTCAATAACCCATATGGGTGGTTGTCAAAATTAGGGTCCCTTTTTGGGTCCTTATTATAATACGGCACCTATTATTTAGGGTACCCCCAAAAGGGACCCTAATTTTGACAACTACCCATATAAATCAAGTCCTTCTCTTCAAGCTCGGACATTATTATGGAAGCCCTACACCCTACACTCCCCTCCTGTAGTTTCCTTTAATTCACATCAGATCGGAGCTTCCGCTTTGAAGCAGCCGAAGCCTAAACCCTAAACCCTAAACCCTAAACCCTAAACCCTATGACCCTGAACCCCAAACCAACTTAAACCTGAACCATTGGGTGCTGTGGAACCGCGCTGAATGTCGTCCAAGACCTTTTGTCGCAGGGGCCGGCCTCAAGGGCCTCGAGTCTCAGCCACAGGTCCTGGCTGCTCCTCCTCGTTGTCCACGTCCCCCGCCTCCAAGCCGAGCCCACGCGCTCAATGGCTTCATCTTTTTCTGCAGCTCGCGCCTCTTCAGCCTCTTCTCCAGCATCGGCAGCCTTGGCCTGTAGCTTGGCTAGGTCTGCATCGATCGTCGCAGCTGGCAGCTGGATTTGTGGCCATGCTTTGCGTACTTGCGAGACCTCGAGGAGGCCAATGGCCTAGCAAGTAGCTTGTCCGAGAAGCGCTTGGGAGATGCCTGGAGCCACTTCGTCTCCTTGTCAGCGAATAGTGGATCGCTGCGATGCGGGGCCAAGCGGACTGGGACATGTGGGAGTTTCCGAAAATTAGAAGTGCCTTATTTAGGGGTCCTTAAAATAAGGATCCTATTGTTTAGGGTACTATATTAGGGTCCCTTATTTTCGGAAACGCCCATGTTTTTCCAGAACCCTAAACCCTAAACCCTAAACCCTAAACCCTAAACCGTGTTGCTGCCACTTGCGACGAAGGTTGACCACCGCGTGCCGCCGGCACAGGCTCGAAGGCTCAAAGGCTCGAAACCCAAGCCCAAACCCCACGGCCCTGCACAACGTAGGCTCTTTGGGGTTTAGGGTTTAGGGTTTACGGTTTAGGGTTTAGGTGTTTCGGATATTTTGGGTTTAGGGTATTTAGGATTTAGGGTGTTTAGGGTGTTTGGGGCTTAGAATTTGGATGTATTAATTACTTAAGCTTGGGTGTGTATAGTCTGTAAGCTCATAAGACCCTTAACCCTAAACCAAAACCGTAACTCTAAATCCTACCCTAAACCCTAAACCCTGGGCATCGAAACGCATGAGGCGGGACACTCCGGGTTGCATCCGACTGCATTAAGCAAAAGACAACCCCAAAGGATCCTAAGTACCTATACTGGTTTTGGGTTTAGGGTTTTGGGTTTAGGGTCTCGGGTTTAGGGGCCTATACGGGGGATACCTAATGTGGGGGCCTTCATCATTTCCTGTATTATTTTTGGGGGTTCCGTATTATAATCATCGTATACGGGGCCCCAAAACCCTTTTCTAATTATTAAGGCTCCTATATTATACGGGGGATACTTAGCCAAACCTACCAGTAATTCCCATAATAGAAACCCTACTTTCTACGATGTACCCGAAACCTGGTAGGTACTTAGGATCCTTTAACCCTAAACCCTAAACCCTAAACCCTAAACCCTAAACCATGAGTTCCCTTAAGGGTCAGTTTAAGGGTTCCTACTATAAAGGCTTTAGGGTTTAGGGTTTAGGGTTTAGGGTTTAGGGTTTAGGGTAATATGGGAGCATATACGATGTAGGCACAAAGACCTTCACACCCTACACCCTGAGCCCATGTGGTTTCCTTATAAAACCCTTATCCCTTGTGGGTACCCTTAGAGGAACGCTTAAATGGATCCGGAAAAGAACCCCTACAGAACCCTTCAAGGCACTATCAGAAGAATCCTTAAAGGAGCCTTTAACAGAACCCTTCATAAACGAGCCCTGAAAAAAAGATGTGGACCCTTCGGAACTTTCATGGCGTGGGTATAGGGTTTAGGCTTTAGGGGTTTAGGGTTTAGGAGCTAAAACCCTAAACCCCAAACCGTGCCCCAAACCCTAAACCCTAAGCCCCAGGCCAAATCATGGAGAGAGGGGCCCTCCTGAAAAATCATCTCGTCGAGTTTGTTTTTGCTGTGTCCGGCTTTGGGCTTTGAGGGTTTAGGGCCTAAGTTCAGGGTTGTTGGGGCTTTGGCTTCGGCTCTTCGGATTTCGGGGTTGGGGTTTAGGGTTTAGGATTTAGGGTTGAGGATTTAGGATTTAGGGCTTAGGGTCTGCTGGAGGGCTTGGGGGGTTTAGGGTTTGGGGCTTGAAGGGCGGCTTGGGGCTTCGATGGTTGATGGTTTCGGGTGGTATTTTGGGCTTAAGGTTCAGGGTGCATGACTTCGAGCTCGTGTTTGTCTTGTGCTGGTCGTCTTGCGTGTTAAACCCTAAATCCTCCGAAATGCCAACTTGGCTGAAATCCGCTTGGGCGGGACGGGCTGGCGGATCTTGGCCCAAACTACGATGAATCTAGATGAGCCCGTTGAAGTTCTTGTTTAGAAGCTCAGTTCAAGTGTTGGGGTGTCCAGCTTTAGATGAAACGTCCCATTTGCTCCTTGCGTGGTTGTTCCAGGCCGTGAAATATAACCCGAGAGGAAGAGAAAGAGAGAGGGAGAGAGAGAGAGAGACAGAGAGACGGAGGGATAGCAAGAGATTTTCGACAAAGAGAGCGAGAGACGGAAGACACAAGATAGAAAAAGAGAGAGAGAGAGAAGGGCGGCAGAGAGCGACAGAGAGAGTTGCTGAGACCCAGACCCCGTCTTCTCGGTCGTGGCTCTCCTTCAAGCTGCTTTGTTGGGTTGGCAGATGGGCATCGGAGGCTTGAGCCGTGAGGGTTTGGGTGTTTGGGGTCTAGGGTTTAGGGTTGAAGAAAAAAGACTGCAAAGGTTAAGGTAAGCATCTACGCTTTGGCTTTTGGCGCTTGCGGCTTTAGGGTTTCTCAAGCCCTACACGATCGTTTCAGTCATGGTGCGATCTACATGCACACCCCCACGCTGAAACCCAAGACCTTAAACCTCAAACTCCAAACCCTCACATGTTGGATCAAAGAACTCCGGAGGCATGTAAAGG